AGCCTGTTCAGTGGGCGCTGTTTACACAACGTGGAGTTCCAGTGGCCCTCGGAAATACAGTGTGTGATTCATTCAAGTGGTAGAATGTTCTCAGTCAAACCATGTCACCTACCAACACGGTGTGTGTGAGGAGGGTTTGGGGGAAGGTTTTAGGAGGCTGGGGGGGAACTACCCTGTCATTCACAACAATGTGTGTACGTTAACCTGGGGTGTTAATATTTGCTCAGGTGTGGTCCGATAATTTATCAAATTCTTGGTTGGTGTGGGCCTCCGGTTTGGGGCCATTATCTAAAGTAGGTCATGGCTGGAACTGGCAACACCTTTTGCAGAGGCAAAATAACATGTTGGTTTTAGATTTAAAAAGAAAAATAATTACAGCTAGGAAGAAAAGTTGTTAAGTTTTTAGAATTAAAACCACCGATCAAATAAAACCTAACACAGCATCAAACTTGAGAAAGATAGCTGTTTGAGAGGCCAGAGAGATGTGTGTTAACATGCTGTGGTTTTTAATATCAAACAACTATTTTGACTTGTCATTTCTCACAAGAAAAACGAATTGGAGCATCAAACTTTAGAAAGATAGCTGTAATTGTGGAAAATCCTTTATTCTACTATAGTGAAGTAGAATTGATACATTGAAGACGCCTTGATCCTTGATGATTGAAGGATGATAGGTTAACTCTAATTAATCAATTTCCAAAAATCCAAAGCAACACAAAGTTATCTTATTATTTGAAAATGTGACTTCCTCGCTGCCTAATGGGATTTCCTAGTGTTTTAAGTCACAGTGCTGTGATCAGTGAGTGGAAAACGTGTCTAGAATTAATAAAACTGCTGTTTACAGTTGGGCTGAACCCAACCTGACATGAAATAAGGGCGTCCTTCATTTCCTTCTGTAGACAAAGAGCAGTCAACTCTTTTTTTAACATCTTGGCCTAATTTGGCCTCCATAACTTGTCAGCATTTTGGCAGTTAGTGTGGGCCTTATTGGGCTGAATTAACAATTCACATCTCTGTCTGAGATATTTTAAGTGGGCTTTGAAAGAGGACAACTGAGAGGGAAACATGCCAGGATTTCCCGCAACATCTAACCCTGCCTCTGCCACAACCTAATTAAGCTTGAAGGTTCCTTCTCTGCGGTCACTTCATGCTGGTGTGCAAAGTAATGATAAAATTAGAAACCACAATGTTTTATTTACAGTTTTATGCTCACTCATAGGCACCGAGTGACTCAGCCCTGCTGCTTCACACAGGCTCCAGAGTGACTGAGAGGAGTCGTCACACGGCCAGGGCTTTCTGTGCATACACACATGGCAGCGGCAGTAAATCAGTACCTTTACGTGTACAGTTAAGTTGAGCGTCTGTTGTAACTCCACTGGGTCATTTAATTTAACAGCTCTCCTTGTCTGGATTTACAAGCACAGAAGGGGAATCAATTTATGTACAGAATTATATCGTTCCATGCCACAGTTTGCCGCGTTGCGCCTCCTTTTAGCCTGCGGTTGACGTACCATTTCCGGTTAGGCTGTTAGCAAGTTAGCTTGTGGTAGAAAAACAAATCTGGCGACTCCACTGCTCTGTATACTTTACTTGTTTACTTGCACTAGTGTTATGGAACCCATTCCGTTTGTGGTATTGGTGTTATTTGAGGGCAGATTGCAACACTGTTTGATCTTAAAGTGCCAAAAATGCGAGTGCTCATTTTCCCCTGCTACAGCTATTTACAGATTTCTCCCTGGATTTAATTTGTGCCATAAACTGGAAACGATCACAGAAAATTACATCATCTATCAAAATCCAAGTTAAATGCATTTCAGTACCAGTGAGAAAACAACATGTATGCCTCAGAGAAATGTATCTTCTTTGTTGCTGCTGTTCTTTGTAGTACACACAGCTACAAACAAAGTCAGCTAAGGTCAGGCATCAAACAGAAACGTACACAAACAAATTTAGAAAAAAAAGAAGGTTTTTACTTTTTATAGAATTGACAGCCATCTCATTATTTCAGTAAGTTTTAACCCTTTAGAGATTTTCTGTATTTCCACTTGAAATGAACCAGAGTAGTGCTAACTGTCTGGATAGTGATAAAATAGTAGCTCTGTGTGTGTTAGGATTTCTAACATGTTTTATCTTAATAATTAAAACATGTTGCTCAAGTTGTGTGTTTTGGAAATGTAATAGTAATAATAATCTTTTATTCTTATATGTTCTTATTTGTTCAGGTTTAGTCAGGTTGTTCACTGAATGTTTTTGAGAAGACAACTTCTTTTGACATGAATGGAATCCTCCTGAAAATATTTTTTAAGCTTGGCAGCAGGTTGTGAACGAGTTTTTCTTTTCCTTAAACTGTAATAATATTTTAAAAGAGTGCAATTTCAGACACAAAAGTTCTTTGCGACCCGGTGCAAGGGACACAGAAATCTACAGAAAATAATTCTCAGATGGAAACACCACTTGCAGATGTATTTAGACTTTAGTGAAGGATGTGTAGAGAAAAAGCTTTTTCATTTTCATGAATTACAATCTGTTCCTATTTAATTAATTACTTTTACAATCTGCTAACATGCTATGACTAATTTTTAAATTCTTCTTTTACCTCAAGCTAGGTCATCCGTTGTTGTTTTCTTCTTCTTTTACCTCAAGCTAGGTCATCTTGTTCTTCTTTTACCTCAAGCTAGGTCATCAGTTGTTGTTTTTTTCTTAATTTCATCTAAACACACAGTTATATCTGTTTGTTTAATGACTAAATGTAAAAAATACACAAACATTCACTACCATGAGAATATTTAGCTGAATTGAAGCAGACCAAACACACAGGCCTGTAGCCGTGGCTAGCTGTACCCGGTACAGCTCCATCCCTCTCTCTCCCCTCAGTTTTTTGTTATTTAATACCCACTCTGTCTCGTGGCACCTCATTCTACTGGATCACTTGAATTTTGTTTTGTAAGCTTCGGCCCTGTCATCTGCCCGTCAAAATCAAAAGGGCTATTTTTCTCTTAACCTCCTCAAATATCAAGGTCTTGTTCAAATAAAGGATGAGCTGTGACCCGATCCCTCAAACTCTTTAGCCTCTAATTGTATTTACAACAACATGACACTTGGCAGTCTGCGTTTTCGACTTACACATGCACTTCACCATCACATGAGAAAGGGACCGGGGTCTGAACACTTTTGTCTCCACAGTCAAAGGAGATCTGGTTGCAATGACACTCTAGCCTCATGCTCTCTTGTGATTTCAGTCACATCCAAGCCCCCTTGCGGTGCACCCCCACTGCCCACCCCAAACACCTCTCTGCCTGCCAAGTACTTAGGGAGGCGAGTCATCCAGGACGAACGAGGGCTCAGTCCCTGCGGAGAATCACAATGAGTCCTTCAAAATTGTCCTTCCCAGATCTTTACTGCACAACACGGCAGCTCCAACTGCCTTTGGAGTGGGCTCTTGATTTTGGTCTTTCTGTAACACTGACCACTTGAAACAGAGAAATATTTAATTTCAGTTTTTACAGTTTCTCTGAGTTGGACTAGATATAGTGATGTGTAAAGGATCACAATTTTTGGACTTTGGAGATGGACTAGTTATGGTTAATTTGACTAAAATATCTACTTGCCTTTGCCATAAAGACACTCTATTTAGGCGTTCAGCTTTAAAGACGTACCAGGATTGACCAGAGGGAACAAGAGGTGAAAGGTCTTCAGTAAGCCAGTCCGCTGGTCTAATCCTGCATTTTTTTAGGATTAAAAGGATTGTCGTTAACGTTGTAGTAAACAGTTGTCCACTCTCAGGCTAACTTTCTAACAGCTAACAAGAACAATAAACAATAAACAGACCAACCTTAACAAGAAAATGAGGCATCTTTTTCGACTTTGAAGGAAAGACACCAATAAATATGTTTTAAAAACTGATCTAAACACTGTGTTCATGTATGGATTATAATCATTTATACTGAAAAGTTCTTGGCAGAGCTTTGAAAATAACGACCTGGTGATCTGTCTCCTATCATATCACCACTGTTGATTCTGTTGCCATTCTCATGTCTATGTACCTGACACAGTAGTTATGTAAGACAGATGTAGCCTGGGACACATCCCACGTCTCCACATACGTTTTGTAACCTGGAGAAGGCAAACCACAATCACAGTTTGACGCCTGAAGAGGTGAGCGTGAAAATAATGCCACTCTTTTGTAATTGGATGACGACATGTTCGTGTCCATCAACGATGAATAGGTGTAGGTGGAGATAGCATTGGAGCAGGGCCTATGGTGTGAAAGTACTCAGTCTTGTCAGCAGTATCACACAGCTGATGGGTCCTGAGCTTTTCTGTGGTACACCTCAACAATCTGTGCTAACTCCATGCCCAGAAGTACAGCACTCTGCAGTTTCCCATGGTCAGACGGAGGTTGAATGTTCACTTATGTCTGTGCCATGACACATGAAAGAGCCTCTGTGGTGAGCGATGAAAAAACACCTTACAAGTAAAAAAAAAGTAATGAAATGCCTGTAAGAAGAGGAGAAACAACAAACAAACCAGCACTAAAAGGCAAACTTGTAGCAGAGATTTTTTTTCCCCTGGGTAGAGTTTGCTTGTGGGTTATTTTATACAGAAACATCATTGTAAACTTAGGCTGACCCTTGCATGTTGCTTTACCTTTCTCGAGCTTTGGTCTCTGTTGGTGTAAACTGGAAATTTCCTACATCAGAGACAAGTGTGTAGCCTGTAAATCGTCACTTGTAACTGTGTAGCTGCATGTCTCTTGAATATTTCTTAGCTGGACTTCACACAGGCATCATGGGTAATGGAGTAGCCCCAAGTGAGAAGGTCACTGGTTTGAATTCAAGCCCGGTTACATGGTCTTTCTGTACGGAGCTGTGTGCTAGAAACGATAAAAGCCCCCATCGAAATGATGTCATGGGCAAATTCAGATATTTTAGGAGCATTTTGCTTCAAGCCATTGCTAATTTTTTTAAACCTGTTCTCTTGTGATTTTTTTTTTTTTTTAGCTCCCAAAGCTGAAGATCATCCCAAAACCTGCAGCTCTAAGCAGTTTGTATGCAAGGACCAGGTGACCTGTATCTCCAAAGGCTGGCGCTGTGACGGTGAAAAGGACTGTCCAGATGGCTCCGATGAATCACCAGATATCTGTGAGTATGCTTCCATAAAAGTATCTGGTGAAGTGTTCGTTGGGATCGACCAGTAGTAAAGTGTCATTTTAGCTAATTAACTTGCCCTGGTGTTCATGTTAAACTTAATTAAAATCCTCCGTCTACATAGGTTTGGAGGAACAGCAACACACACAGTACAGACACTTTAATTCATGCCAAAGTAAGAGGATGGCTTATGCCCTGATCTGAGGAGGCCACAGGCTCACAGTGTGTGCTCTGGCTGCACTGCTGAGTTATAGCTCTAATTATGTGGCCATGTTTAGTCTGAATGTTCAGGGATGTGTCTGTTCCTGTCTGGACTCTGGCTGGATCTGTACCGTCCCTGAGAGTCCCAGCCTCTCTCTTCTGTTTGTTTCCCATTTCCACTATTTCATCCATAAACTCTCTCTGCTAAAAGCCTCCCCTCTGTTTATGTGCAGGCACTAATAGTGATTTTACTGTCTGTGTATGCCACACCTCACATCTGTCATGCTGCAACTGTTCTCACAATAGTCTGGCCTGCAGAGACAGGCATCTGACACCAGCGTGAATCAAAGTTATTGTTGTTGTTGCTGTTGTTGTTGCCTCGATATCTCAGTGTATTGTGTTCCCTAATGTTGTGTTTAATTGAAGCGGGGGAAATTCTTAACATGTGAATTGACAGCTATCCCCTTTGCTACGTTCTAGTCCACACTGATGATGCGTACGTTGCCAACTTTCCCCCAGTGGTACTTGCCAAAGCTCCGTTCAAATTTCTGTGTGAACCCAATTAAATTAAGACAAAAATTCTTTCCTTTTTCCTGGAGTGTCCAGAAATTTTCCTGCAATGTAGTCGGAACTGGGCCAGTAGTAGGAGGCAGGCAACAAAATAGAATTCAGTGTTTAAAAACAACTGCAATGACGGCTAATTTGTGCAGAATTTTGCAATTAATTTGCCCAACAAAATAATTGTAGAAAGCTTTGCTATTTTATGTGACATTCTCTCCTTTGGCCTGACTATACATTTAGTTTGGTCATGCAAAAAAAAAATCACAGTTTGTTGTTAACAAACTTATATCTGTACAACAGTAAAACCAAAAGACCTGTGCAGATAATGAAGTAGAAACAGCTGAAGAATGAGGAGGATAGCTAAAATGTTGTCAAATGACAAATAAGTCAGCAGAAATACAAATGCAATAGAAACATTTGGTAATATCATAAAGAATATCTTATTATAGTCAGTGTTTCTGTAAATACTGACTACTTTATATACTTTGTTTGAACATGCATAATGTGGACGACATTTATAGCTGCATATGCGTCTATAATTTTGACATTATCTGTAGTTTGAGTTAATTACTAAGTACAGAGAGAGATTTCACACAGCTTAAACCTTTTTCTGCTTATTTTCCTGGTCTCTTCTTCCTGTGGATTGTTTTTGATTTTTCTCTTTTCTCGGTGTGGGATCATCCCACAGTCTGGCCCAGCTGTATATCAGACTGTCATCAGGCAGGCAGTGGGTGTAGCCAACACTGAGGCAGGTTTCTCAGACTCTTAACTGTGCCATATGAGAATATGACTTTTTAGGTCTTAAGAAACGCCGTCTTTCTGATTGTACAGGTGTGCTTCGGCCCAGCCGGGATCTTTGATCTGCACTACCAGTGCCATTGTTAGAAGAAAGTGTATTATTTGGTATTCTACAGCCTGCAGGTCTAAATGCCTGTCATTTCCAAACCATTCACTTGGGCTGTAATTAAGTTGAGCAGCTAAAGACAGGCATCTGCCACAGCAGTGCTGCTGTAACCATGTATCACATTAGGCCTCGATATGACTGGAGATGGCACTTGATCCTGCAGAGTCAGTCCTGTGCGTTAGCACCCTAAGCCTTTATACCCTAAGCCCTTTAACCAGTGGACGGCTGAACCAGAGTGACTGAGGACGTGAATCAGCATGAAGTGTTAAAACAAATACACGGCTGTAGATGTGGCTGACTTGACAACTCAGAGGACACCGTAGCCCTCAGACGCACCATCTGTGGCCCTCCCTTATATTGCCCTTAGTTAGGACTCAGATAGCCATCAGCAGGCTGCCCGTGCAGGCCTCTGTCTGCAGGTGTGACCCTGTCATCCTCTCCAGCTACTGCACCCCCCCCTCCCTTTCCCTCACTGTATTGCTTTAACAAGTCATTTCACCTCACTTATGTAAAGGCTTAAGGCTCAGGAAGTTGTTGACGTATGCCTGTAGGGCAAGAGTTCATGTTTTATTTGTCCCAACAATACTGTTCCGTGCAGTCGAGGGCCAGTTCTTATGTTCCTTTAGTTGTTAGGTTGTCTGTTGACAGGAGGCAGGAGCAGGATATTGTTTTTGTCTCCTTGAGTGTATGTGTGGTGCTTAAAGGGTTGCAGTACAAGGAGGCATCATTGTGTAGTACCTGATCCTGCTGAGAGAGTAGTATGGGCGGCAGAATAGTTCAAACTTCCTTCCATGGTTAGATCACCGTACACCCCACTCGTATACAAATGTTATGATTTCTTTTTATTTCTTTATCGTCTTCAGGGTGGTGCAGGGGTGGAAGGTCACGAACTTTTTACCGTTCTTGGCTGATGGGTCTGAACATGGTTCAAACTAATCTTCCATGCTTTGGCTCTGGTGTAGCTACAATTAACGTGGCATATAATAGTGTCTTCAACAAATAAAACAACGTTGCCAACTTACATGCTAACAGAAAAAAAACAAAAAATGCCTGCTACTAACAGGGATAATAAGACATATCAACACATCTGGGATGTTTCCTGCTGGTGATGATAAAAAAGTAAGAAATGCGTTAAGACTGGTGATGATAAAAAAGTAAGAAATGCTTCAAGGTTTTTTATAAATATAATTATGACTGCACATTTTTTTGAAAGGTGTTTGTTTCTTCTTCAAAGACACATTGTAATTCAAGGATTTTTCAGAACTGCTGTTCTTTACTTTGTGTCTGCACTTTTTAATCACTCTGAGTTGGGTGGGCAGTTGGAATTGGGTTATGGCATCTGAGTTCTGCTTAGCTCACAATTAGGGCTTCGCCTGTTGACAGCCCTGGCTTTAATTGTCCAACTCTTCTGGTTACAGTACTTTCATGGTGCTGCTGTTAAAAATAAAAGCACTGTGTCACAACTTGCATGCTATTTTGCAGTTCTGTTTGAGCGGTGCTGTAAAGAACACTGACCGCCTGTCTGTAGCCTAAAATCTGTGTGCAATTATGATTCATTATTGTGGTCGAGCCAGCGAAGGGGAGCAGATGTTGAAGTAAGCCCCAGTGAGAACTTTCTCCACCATGAGAAGTCCTTGCCGTGACGGAATCTCTCAGAAACACCAACAACCTTATGCAACCACTGCCTGCTAATTCTTCTAGACTTTTTGGTTCCTGGTTTTGCATGAAAATGTCTGCAGGAGGAATTCCAAGTAGGGGGTCGAAATGCACTCTCAGACTTGCAAATAAACCTCCTTTCACGTCTCATTCAGCTTTTACGCCTTGTTTCAAGGGAAAGAAATTGAGCTGATAACTTAAATTTGTTAACACTTGCAAATAACCGACGACTCCCTGTGCTCCCGTTGTCAGGTTTTTTTCTCCGTAGGCCTGTAAAAGTAGTACGCTCAGAAATTCATTTGTTTTTCTGAGGTGATGCTTTAAAAAGTAATTTTTAGGGGATATATCTGGAATGCAGTCTCATAATGTAACCGCGAGGAGCTACGGCTGAGGAGGCTAAAAATATTTAAAGTGAATTCACCCCAACATGTGTGCCTGTGGATACCGTTGAAAGCACATGATATAACACGAGAAAAGTGGGTTTATAGTTTGAAGCGATGGAAGTGGAAGTGAAATAAACCTGTATTCTTTGGTTTGCCTCAATACATTTTGGTGCAAAGCTGCAAGAGGGTAATGTTCAGATTGAGTTATCATCTGCAGGCGGCTGCCTCAGCCTGCTGCGGGCCACACAACAAGGTTATCTGTCCATCTCGTGCCCGTGAGCCCCCTCTGAACGTTCAGCAGCCTTTGTCCAGCAGATCTGATGGTCATGCCCCAAAAGCCTCTCCAGGACGTCCAGGAAGAGCCAACTGCAGACGTGGTGGTGGCAGGATGGAAGATTGGAGGAATGGAGGGAAGGGAGGTTCTTAAAGATGGAAAAAAAGCCTTTGTGCTGGAGAAAATGAGCAGATTAGCATTTAAGCTCAGCAGGGAAATGGAAGTAGTTCTGTAAGACTCTGATCCTCTTTCTATTGAAAAGACCTTTTACAGTAGCATTTGGGAGAGAGCTTTTCATAGCCTGTAATCAGTCATGTCGCTGTAGTCGCAGGGGGGCAACAGGCAGGGACAGGGGGGGACTGTGGAGACAGTGGGTGACACAGTGTTTCCACAGAGGAAGGAGAAAAGCCCGGTAAATCCCTCTGGTCTGTGTCCCTGAGCCCTCCTCACCGTCCTATCAACAGACAGAGAACACAAGGCTTTCTCACGCCACACAGGCACCACTTGCCTTTCTCTGCTGTCTCCTCCATGCCCTGTCTCCCACTCCTTCTGTCCTTCTTTCTGTCTGTCATAGCAGCTTCAGATGTGTCTTCGGTGTCCCTTCCCTGTTCCTCATATCTAATCTCCAGTCCTTCGTCGAAATGTATTGCTTGTTTGTGTTAGCTGATCCTTTCTCTGAGGATGTATGTGGTATAGTTTTATATTGGTACGGGACACACCATCACTTCCTACTGTGGCAACACACTTAACAATCATAAATGTTAAAATAGGCAGGCATTCAGATTTAATAGGTTTTATTGGCATTTTAGTGTTAAATTGGGAAATTATATTGCACCTTAAACTAACTTGCTAACAGCTAACAGAATCAGAATATGTTTATTCCCAAGTAAATGCACACGTGCAAGGAATTTCACTCTGTATAATTATGCATTTTGAATAAATGAAATCAAATTAGACAAAATATAAAGTGTTATTAACATTGTAAAGACAAACGGTGAAAAGTCTGAGTGGGCTA